GGGTCCCCACTCTGGCACAGGCACGTGGTCCTCTCTCCCAGGGCCACGGGAGTCTCCACTCTGTCAAGGCCGCGTGGTTCTCCTCCTCAGGGCTGCGGGAAGGGAGAGTCCCCACTCTGTCCAAAGCCGCGTGGTTCCCCCTCAATGGCTGCCATGTGTGGGTTTAAATCCCCCGCGCCAATCTTCTTCTGCAGCCCCATTTCTGACTCCTCCTACACTTGGGCACACTTGCCCTCAATCTACTGTCTTCTCCAGCTTTTCTGGTCGCCATCGTGGGTCTGGGCAGGTGTCACCCCATGTCATGGAGCCAATCTTCTCCCAGCTCCCACGCAGGCGCTGTAACTCAGGGGACCTGCCCCCCAGTCACATCTTGGTGGGGAGATCCCTTTCCATTCCCCTGGCCTTGAGCATGGCCATAGCTATTTAGCATATCTAAGTGACCAGCCAAAGGCTATAGGTTTCCTAAATGACCATGCCATGGTTTAGCTGCAAAGCTGCCCTGCATGTTCTTGCTCTGTGTGCCCCTTCCCCCATCTCACACCTGTTGGTGAGTTGTGGGGGAAGGGGTGAAGACACCTTAAAATCTCCTGGACACCTTAAGTTCTGGACCCCATTTCAAATGCCTATTTGGGGTCCCCCCTCTTGGCTGCACCCTGTAACACTTCCACTCCACACGCCCCGAGCTCCTCACTGTCCTCTCAGCCAGCTTGGGTACCTTGATAGCTCTAGGCGTTCTGATATATTCATTCACCTCTTCCTTTATCAATTCTAAGACAATGGAAAAATTGAAATTGGGGTCAGCTATGGATTAAAATAACAACTTCTGTGTGTTGTTTGTTTCTGCTGGGAAAGCTGGATTGACTGTACAGAGTTAAGGCTGTTATGTCCCTACCCCCAGGCCACACCTAGACATTGAGACTTAAATGAGGGGTGTCAGGTCCACACAGCAAGCTGTAAGCCAGCACATCAGTTGAATTTGGTTCAGCTGAATAGAACATAAAATCTTAATATTAGCATCTTAAGTTATAAAGAAGTAGGCGTTTCAGAGCTGGTATAACACCCAGCATTGTTAGGGACCCATGCTCTTAAATATTTATTCTCTACTGTGCTTAGCTTGTGTCTTCCATCGCAGGGTCCAAGGTAGTTACCAGGGCTCCACCTATTGTATCTACATTCTAGGCAACAGGAAAGAGCATTGCAAGAGGCTTCCAGAAGTTCCATTTCGATATTACTGGCCAGAATTTTTTTATGTAGTTAATACAACTTTAAGAAAGGCTAGGAGCAGTAGTCCTATCCTGACCAGTAATGTCCACCCCCAACATTGGTATCCCAGTACTGAGAATGAAGAAAACAATGCTGTTTTGATGAGCCACAGTCAGCTAACTGCACAGTCCTGGTATCCCACCCCACTTTGAGCTTGGATTACCCAAGCAGGGGACCCAGTTTTGCTTATCTCACAGAGCAGCAGCCATGCAGGGAATGGATCCAGAGAAAGTCAAGAAGGGGCCAAGTGTACCTGCCCAGTGCTCTTTTCCAAACTCGACAGTTAGGTAAATCACAGCTCCTCCTGTGAGGAGGAGTAAGTACAGGCAGTAAGGGGAGCCTTGGAATAGTCCTGGAATGCTGCTCCCTCCCTGGGAGCAAAGCGGAAGCACACTGCTAGAACGTGAGAGCGGGAAGCGGGCTTTCCCAGCCTCTCCCGCCAGGCGTACTCTCTGACCCAATCCCTCCACTGTAAGGGCCAACTTACCCCCCAGCTCCAAGCTTATCCATCACCTTCCCATGGCACCGGCCCACATTCCCACGCCAAACAGGTCTCTCTGTGCTTCCATTTCCATGTGTTCAGACTAAAAGGATAGTACTGCTTCCGTGCTACTAGAACTCTTTCTTGCCATGACTGTTTCTCCTTCTCTCACGCCCAGACATGTACTGAGCCATGCTGTTCCAAGTTTGTCTGCATTTCAGCCGCTCATACAGTACCAGCCACTTAAGAAGCCATCGAGCACGTAGTTGAATGACACTGAGGCTTCCCTCCTTCCTATTTTATAACAAGGAAATGGAGATCTTGAGAAGCTGAATGGCTTAGTAAATAGTGAAAGTAATGGACACCTATGTTCATTAAACCTCATTGTGTTCTAGACACTTTCATAAGTGTTTATATGCATTCTTCTCCTTAATTCCCATACCAGCCTGATGAGGTGTGTGTCATTGTATGGAGGGGAATTGGTCGAGGCTTCAGGGTGAAGAAGTGGCAATGCTAGGATTTGAACCCAGGACTTTCCTTACTTCAGTTCCATGCCAGCATAGCATGAACCAGGCCCAGGTCTTCTGAGGCTCTGCCTGACCTGAAGATATTTGAATTTTATTCTCTTTTCATGTCCTGCTTTGTTGTAATGCGATAATCATTTAATATGCTGATTCAGACAAAGCAGTCTTGGTAGAGATAGATGAGCCTGTCAAGGGTGGCATTTGTCCAGTGGTGACGCTGCGCAGCTGCTCTAGCTGGTCCCGCTCTCCCGCCCCAGTCACCGAGAACCACTTACCAACAACAGCTCGAGGGACAATAGGAAAGTTAATCTGCCCAGTTTAAAACAAGTTGGAATTTCCCCAGGGAACTGAATGGTCACGTGGGTTAATACTTATCAGAAAAGGTCACCCCCCAGGAGGACACCATTAGCATTTGGCTCTCAGCAGGCATAAAGCCAGTTTAGAAAAGCAAAGAGCAGGCTCCCCCTAACTCTTTGCATCACAAAAAGTGTGACTTCTTGTGTTTTAAGGGTGGTTGTTTCTGTTCAGAAGGAGAAAATGGATCCCTTTCAGGGGAGCCAGGAGAGACGTGGTGTTACCCCATCACTCCCCTACAGGAGGGGACTTGTGTGTTCCCTCCATTTGCCACTTTTGATGGAAAACTGTGCATTCATCACACAAGATTTCTTCCCAACTGGCTGGCCACACTCCTGTGGTTATCTGGGAAAGAAACTGAGATATCGATTGAACTGTGCATATTTCCTCTGCACCAAGGACCTCGAAGCCTTGGTCTCCTAAAACAAAAGGTTCATGGAGCATGGATGCGGCTGTGGGCATCCTCCTGCACGCTTGAGAGCAAGTCCTTTTGATCAGAGCATTATCTTCCAGACATCCTGGTTTCTCTGGGCCGTATGTAACCAACAGTGAGGATGGCATTGTAGGATCTAACGAGTGGAGGGAATGTGAATGAGAAAGACCCATGATCCGGTCATTTCATCGTGTGTGAGAACAGGGGCCTCGGCCTATTTGCTACACTAAGTGTTTTTAAACACAGGAAGAAACACAGGTTATATTGCAACCTGGACACACACGTGAACACACACACGCCGTGGGTCACAACCTGACATGGCAGATGGAGCCGGGACGGCGGCTGCAGCACAAGCCGGAGAGCCGGGCCTGCAGCAAGCCCTGGCACTCTCACTGGGCCCCCACAAGAATTTTGAAAAACTGCACACCCTGTCACACATTTACAGTTGTCCTCTAAAAGTGTTTCTCCCGAAATTTAAATACTTGCAAAGACTAGAGTTTCCAGTTTGTTGTAAATATGCTTTAAATATATCTTTGTCAAAATACAGAGCCAAGGATTTAGCTCAGATTCACAGAGAATGTCCATTATATAAACTAATTGTCCAAAACATCCCCCACTGTCTCACGCATCAAGCTAATCAGACTTAACTCCCTGTCAGAGAGGAGGTCAGTCTTCAGTTTTGCAATTCAAATAACCATCATAAGGTGCCCACCTCCCAGTACTTCTGAATTCTGACTCCAAGGTGCAGAGAGATCTATCGGGGAGAGAAGGTCAAAGCCGGGCCAAGAGTCTGTACCTGATAGAAATACAGCACTGCTCCTCCGAGACCTTCCCTCGGGAGCAAGCCTTTCCCAACTTATCCCTTGACTTGGCGTCTTCGTGGAGTCTTTATATCCCGGGGCCAACCTTCTTCAAAGGCTTCTGTTGGATGAGAAATGTCACTCATTTGTAAAGAGGCAGAAAACAGCTGTAAAAGCGGAGGTGAAGGGGAGAACTGGCAGACCTCACGTCCTGGCAGCTTCTCAACCAGGGCTGTTTTGGGGAAACGTGCACGTGGAACTTGAGGATCTGAAAATTAAGTCTCCTAAATTTATGACCGGATCCCCCAAGAAAGTATGCAAGTAGCCCTAGGTACTTAATCCACAGCTGTGTGTCTTTAATATCCTCACCTGTAAAATGCAAGTAGTAACAGTCCCTACTTTTAAGGACAGTCACGAAGAATACATAGAGCTATTCAAAGAAAGCATTTAATGAAGTTCTGGGTGCAGAGTAAGTGCCCACTCTGTGTTTGCTATGGTCTTTGTTACTGTTGTTATCTGACCCTCTACTTGCTAACAATGTCATTCTCATTGGATTAAGTAATTCCCAGGCCCATCCCTAACACTTGTGGCTGCAGCCCAGTAGTATCCAGGCTCTGTCCACACCCCTGCAACCAGCAGCCCCGTGGCCACTTCTTAGGCCCGGAACCCACATCTGGTGGCAAAGTCCATCGTCAGAATGTCCCACCTGGTTAAGAAACCCTCACACTGCTCGGAAGTGGACACAGGGCTTTTGGGGTAGGAAATTCAGGATTCTGACTTTCTGGAACTTGCTGTAAGAAAGGTTGGATATAACTCTACTGGGCACATCCTCTGGCCCAATAGGTTTCTTGCACAGACAGGGTAGGGCAGGAGTCCTATAAAGCACATGCCCAGCTCCGTGGCCCCTCCTGCTGGGGCCTAAAGGTCTTATCTCTGGGATGTTGTTAAAATCAATTGGGATAATATGTGCAGATGTGTCTTGAATATAAGGCTTGAGTGTTATCTTCATGGTCTTTGTGATTCCAAATTCCATTCAAGTCAATCCCTGAACAAACTAACAGAAACCACAGAAAAAGTCAAGTTAGTCAACAGACTTCTCTTGAGGTTCTCAGACACAGAATAAAATGCCTGTTTTATTGTTTCAGGCACTGGCTTTCAGGCCTCAGGATACAACTTCAACACCTACGACTGGAGGAGTTCCAAGCCGAGAGGTAGCTTGTCCCCTGTCACTAAGCCTCGAAGCCAGACTTACCCAGATGTGGGGCTGAGTAATGAAGATTGGGACCGGTCCACAGTCAGCGGGTAAGGTTCCCATCAACTGTTGCCCTGTCCAGGCTGTTCCGAGCTCTTCTGGGCCAGAAGTGAGCTTCTCTGTGTCCAGTGGCACAGATTTCTAGCTCTGGCTTCCTGAGGCTGCTGCAGGCATCCACACTGGCCTCTCGCGTGGCAGGAGCCTGAACCTTGTGCCTACGGTGGGAGCCCGAGCCCCACCGCAAAATGGGGCAAGAGCCGGGTGTCCCCTGGAGAAAACTGTAGCAGCAGCAGGTGGGGAAGATCTACTTCTGAAAACTGTGTCCTCAACCTATGACTCGTTCCCTCTCATTTTTGTTTTTCATTTAAAAGGTAGTTTTACATTAACTAACATTAAAAAAAAGGTCCATCTAGGCTCCCATATTTTTAACTCAGAGGCATATTTTAGCATTTTGCCCCTTACCAAAGTATATTAAGGAAATTCATAAAAAATGATTGCACTGAATTGATCCATCCTGATGTTTACCATAGGGTGGGGAAAACACATTTTTCTCTCCTAGAGAAAAGTCTGAGTTCTCTTTCCCTGTAGCTGTGGTAGCTGAAGGATATCCCCACACAAACTCCACATTCATGCGGCTCATGCAGCAGCAGCAGCCATGAGCACTCAGAAATGCAGTCAGTAAGACCGCGGTCCTTCCTTTCATTCTTCAACACACTTCACATTTCCCAAAGTGTCCTTAGGTGTAAGGATGCTTAGCTGGCCCTAGCTGGAGGCCACTGTTGGAAGAAAGGCAAATCCAAACTGACTCTTATCTTTTGTGTGTGAGATGAAGGAAAGAGATTCTGAACACAGGAAAAAACATGATGTCTAGCAACTTCTTAACTAAAATTGTGCTTTTTGGTGACAGTTTCACAGGGGCGCCTGACAGTGCCGAGGCCGAGCAAGAGGAAAACTTCTGGTCCCAGGCGCTGGAAGATCTGGAGACCTGTGGACAGTCAGGGATTCTGAGAGAGCTTGAGGTAGCCTCAGTCCCGCTCCTTGCTTTCATTGTTTCTACATTCATTTTTTTTGGTCCTTTTGAGTTTGCATTTATCACACCAGTTCATTTAAAAGCTTTAACCCCTTTCCACAGGAGAAAGCTGACAGGCGTGTGTCTTTGAGAAACATGAATCTCTTGGTAGCTACCCTTTATGTTTATATTTTTGCTTGTGCAGCTGCCTCCCCTGCCCCTTTGCCTTCCGGACAGCAATTTGATTTGATACAATGCAGTTAAAAGTATTTCTTTCCCCATTTTCACATACCCTCCCACCCCCACCCCGAGCTGACTGACTTGTGGCTTCTGCCATCGCTCCCTGCTAACCCTGACTGTACCTGTTTTCCACTGAATCGCTAAGGAGCCAGCTACGTCTCCCAGCCGTGGCGCATCTCATTCCCTTAGTTGCTTTAGAAAGGTTTCTTTGGCATGTTTTCATTTGTACCTGGTATAGAAATTAATTTGATCGTGAAGAGGAACATAAGAGGAAATGTTCTTTTATTTTGTTTTGCCCTTTGAAATAGATGACAATGCAGCTGGTGCAAAAGGCCAGTCTGTGGGTTAAGCAGCCAAAGTGTTCCACAGTACTTTGCTGTTGATCGCAAATCCTGATTCCGTATTAACTTAGTGTGGACTTGAGGAGTCTGGGTGAGACAGAGTGTTACAGCTGAACTCCTACTGAGTTCTTTAATCAAAGCCATGAATTTGCTGACGGTATTCACACTTTGGTCTGGGAAGTCCTGGACTATTTCCTTTTATGTTCTTTTAAATTTTCTAAGCTGTAAAAAAATAAAGTGGCAAAAGTTTCATTTTTATTTTGATGTCATATGAGGTCCCCAAGTCACCATAAGGAATGTGAATGGCATAACTGGGTGGAACTCCTGCAATTCTAAAATGATTACTCATCTTTATATTATTTTGCTTCAAAATTGCATGTGTGAATATTTCGTGTGACTCTGACGTTTGTGAATCTGCAAAGAGAATTATAGAGAAAAATATTGATTTGAATTTATAAACATCATGGTATTACCTGGCATGAATTTTAGCTTCAGAGCGTGGGTGAAGGACCTGGAGATGGATAATCCTATAAAACTTGAACACATTGAAATGGCAGCGATTGATTCCTTTTTAACCCAACTTCCAAAAAATGTAGAATGCTTAAGCATCAGTGGGCCTATTTAAACTCTTACCACTTCCTGTGTGTAGAATGATCAGCCAAGGGGCCCAAACTGGGTAATGAGCTCAGTTCACAAGCCTTGAATGTATACCTGCTTTTGAAAGTGTGTTTTGGCTCACATGCCTTTTTCATTTTGCATTTTGATGCTTTTTTGAAGACGTATGCATCTGTTCTTCTAATAGCTACTTTTATATCAGGTAAAAATTCAGATGATGTAAAAGATAATATAAGGTTGTGTTTTTCATCCAGAAATTGAGTTATCCAGTGAAAATGTTGCAACAGCCTATATATAAATCATCTATAGCATAGCTTCAGGCAGGTGTGGTCCTTGAAATTAGAAATCCAGAAAGGAAATGGGTTGAATGTATAAACCAAAGAGAAATTAAAGTCCTCAACTAGAAAGAATGATTGGCAAACCATAAATTAGGGTCTTATTTATACTTTTATCACAAAACACATTCATTTACTAGTTTAAGTGAACTTTGATCCCTTGCAAAAATATATATATATATATTTGAGCTAGATTCTTGCCTATGAAATTATACCCAGTATTAAAAGTTAAAGTGTACTATAATTGTAACAAATGTAGAAGATTAACTAAGATAAAAATGACTACAATTGAAATGAAAATGAAAATTATACTAGTCATTTTCCCCATTGTTAGCAATAATTTCAACTTGAGCACTGAAAAATGTATAGTTTTAACAAAAGAGGAACATGCTAAGTAAGACTTTGAACAAATTACTTAATATGTCTTATCAGATATATCTCTTTCTTTAAAATGGTTTTATAATGAGCTAACGTTTATATGGCACTTAATAAATGTTCAATAGAAATGAATTACTATGTTTTGCCACTTATCTGACTAGTGAACCCTGCATTAACTATTTTTTGTTTAGTATAGGAAGAAGGCTTAAATGTCAGAGAGAGAACTCTTGAACATATCTCTTCTAAGTTGTTTGTACATGTCAATTATCTCCCTGATAATTTAGAAAAAAGAGATTATAACTGTAAATTATGAATCATGTAAAATAAAACCAGGAAATAGATAACTGAGAGCCCATAAACAAATCCTAGGTAGTTTAAAATACCTTTTAACTTTTTACTGTGGTTTATATATTTCTGTTTTAATTTTTATAGGCCTCCATAGAGGTCACTAATGCAATTGAAGTTCATTTTAAACCAGACAGCCAGCCACCCGTTGCGCACTGGCACTGGAGGCCTTCAGACAGTATGTCATTGCTTCCTTCACCACCCTGCCTGGGCTGTTTTGAACCTTCTGCAGGGGCTAAGCCTTATCAAAGCAAGCTGATGTCTCCCGGTTGTAGCAATTGAGTATTTTACCTCCAGTGTGTTTCCTGCCGGTCCCAGAAAAAGTGAATACAAAACAAAATAGATGTTAACAAAGTAAATAACTAGTCTAAGCAGGAAAAAGCAGTAGACGGATGGTCACACTGCAGGAGAGCAGTCGCTGGGTGCTGTCCCTCGGCGCAGGCTAAGCAGAGAAATGACACGTGCACGTTAAACGCTGTTAAATAAAAGGGTGCCCTGCGATACCAACACACCTAGTAATTCAAAGATTTCATTTGTAAAAGGGAATGTATCTGACATAAACCAAAATATGGATAATTCATACTGGTTTAAATATTAGGGTTTGAACCTGCTAAAAAATCATTTTTATATGTCTCAACCTAACACTTGACTGAGAAGCATACAGCCTGCCCATAAACACTGAGGGTTCTGGAGCCAGATTGCTCAGGATGCCGCCCCAGACTCTTGGGTGAGTGTTTGGCTTTCTTGGGCATCCCTTGCCTTAACTGAAACGGGGAGATATAATCATTATAGTACCTCCCACACAACATTGTTAAGCGATATTCTACACACGCACATATAAATGGTGCTTAGCATGTGTTGATAATGCTCAATGAATAGTAAGATATTATTCACAATTTACTTTTTCAAAATTATCATTAAAAAACTGATCTAGTTAGGATCTTAATGAGTTTACTTGTCTTATTTCTTTTTTCAACAAAAATACAGATATGTGTACAAGTGCACTAAAACTTGCCTGTTATTCAAAGGTCTTGTTCGTGGTATATTTATAGCTGTACACCAGGTGAAGCTGGAATTACAAAGCCTTAGATAACAGATGAAAATTCTACTCACTTTGCAGTGTTTCCTCCTGATCTATAATTTTAGGTAGTACCCTTGGCTCATTTACTACCTGTGTGACCTTGGGTAAGTCAGCCTCTTTGTGCCTCAGTTTCCTCACCTGTAAATTGGGAGGAATAATAGTGCTTCTTTCATAAAGTTGTTGTGAGTCTTAAATGGATGACTACATCCCAAGCACTCAACAGATTACACTTCTGTTGCCGGTACCTTTAGCATCAGTATCACTGTAAACCATCACTCCACGCTGTAGCACAGCACATGGAACTCGTTTTCTGTTCCCAGGATTCCTGGCAGATTCACCAGTGGTGGTTCACCTTCACATGACCATCATGTGAAGGAATGCAGGCATAGTTTCGGGATTTCAGCATCCTCTAACCATGAGAAATGGGTATCCCCAACATGACACTGGTTTCAAATGCTCTTTTCTTCCCTTCTAAGACCCTCATTTTGGGAAATCTAATCTTGTAATCTTGTTCCTTGTACAAACATAATATGTATGTCCCCTACATATTACGTAAGGAACATACTTGAAACTGAACAAACTTCCCAATTCACTGGTGAAAGCCAACCCAGGTCTCACAGCTTTTGTGCAAAGGGCTGAATCCAAGTAGCATAGTAAATGGTGATTCTTTTACCTCTCTCTGGACCTTACTAAACAAAGGCCATTTCTAAGAAACACTGACCTATGTCAAATGCTGCAGAGACCTGGCTGGTCTGGCCACAGGCCAAAGGAAAGACCAAAGACAAGAGGCTTGGGTAGAAGCTCTTGTCTTTGTAACAACAGCTGCATGTCAGCCCATCGTTTTCTCCAGGTGGGACTGGAGGCAGCATTGCAAGTAGAGGCAGCCTGGTCTCTACTGAGAAGTTCTTAGTTCCTTTCTATAAGGCAGATTGAAGGTTGCCTCATGAACCCCATCTTTAGAGCTGACTCAGTGGAAAGTTAATGCTTAAACTGTAGTTTACAGTAAGCAAAACATCAGAGCTTTTCAATTTGCCTCTGAATGGCCAGGGGTGGTATTTGATTAAATAAACTCAACAGCTTAAGCACTTAAATTGGATTTGAGATGTGCATTATAAATGGCACTTGCAAAGCATTTTTCCAGACTTTCATACTTCAATGAGTACATCCATTCTCCAGCCTTCGGTTATGCCCTGAAGAGACTGTATTTTGACTGAGCAGAAGCAGAAATGTGCTTAATGTTGAGCAACCCAATCCTTTTCTTTGTCCATGGCTTAATTGTTTCTGAAAATTGTCAATGCCACAGGCAACAATCATGTCGGGGAGCACGATGAGTTTGAATCATGAGGCCCCAACACCTCGCAGTCAGCTGGGGCGACAGGCCAGCTTCCAGGAACGGAGCAGCTCTCGGCCACACTATAGCCAAACAGCACGGAGCAATACCCTGCCCTCCGAGGTGGGCAGGAAGTCCGTCCCCCTGAGAAAAATGAAACAAGAAATAAAGGAGATCGTGTCCCCAACTCCTGTGGAGCTGCACAAGGTCAGGAAGCTCTCTTTTCTTTCCTTAGGGTCCCGTTGACCAGCCATTGTGCGTAGCCTGAGCGCCAGACGCGCAAGCATGACAGTGACATTGACTTGGGCTCAGCCAAGGAAGGAAGCCAGAGCTTAAAGGTAGATAGCAGAGACTTCGAGTGTTCTCCCAACGGGACCTTTGGGACATTATTCTGTAAAACAGAGAACTGGATTTCAAGCAATGAATTAATCCAAAAAATGTGTTTGTGGCCAAAATATTTTTGTAAAAGTTTGAGGCTCCAGTGTCACACAGAGCTCTGACGATTAGTCTATCAGTCCAACTTCACTGGAAGGGAGGAAATGATTTTCCTAAACGTATACACTCATAGCTGCGCTGAAAAGAGGGTTCAGGTGTACCACGGGGAGGCTTAATCCTTAATTACAGGCGCCAGCAGGTTGTTATGTTAGCCAGGGGACACGGAGCTCTCTTCAAGACAGTTTAGATGTCTTGGGTCAGGACCAGGTAAGCCCTGGTGATGCTGTATTTCTGTCACGATAGTTGCCCTACTTTACTTCACGGAGGAAAGCCCACAATGGCAGGCGGGGATGAGCCTGAGTTCCTGGCAGAGTTTAAACGGAGCATATACGTGTGACCGTGTTCGTGGAACCCTGGGCCAGGGACAGCAGCAGCAGAGAGGCGTCTCTGGTATTCTTCTGTAGAACCAGCGCTTTACTTTTGTTAATACACAAGGACACTTACAGTCTCTTCATTTTTCTTGAGAGCCAAGACCGCTCTGTAGTTAATAATTTATTCACTAGCAATTAATTGTTTGTCTTACCCAGAAGAACAAATAAATGTCAGATTGAAAGGAGGTGACATGCCAGCTACTCCTTTTTTTCTCTAAAGACTTCATTTTCCCCAGCCACCTATGAAAACTGAAAATTTATTTCATAGCTGACAAAGGACATGGTGAAAGAAAGGACGGTGTGGGAAGTTGGGTGCTGAACTTTTGGTATTCTGTTTCTGGGTTCATTCTTTCACCACTCATTCACTCATTCATTCATTTAACACACGTACTGTGCATTCCTTCACTAAAAGAGTGGGGGCAAGCCCCAGAGAGCACATGGTCTGATAGGGCCAGTGTGGGAAGCAGTGGGAAGAACATACAACGATAGAGGCGAGACGAGGCTGCCTTGGAGGACAGAGGGTGGACCCTGCCCACTGCGCAGGCTCAGAAAGGGCTTCCTAAAAGCAGGTGTTCGCTCTGCAGGAAGGTGGGGAGTGGGGAAGCAGGCCAAGTACAAAATGAGCCGTGTACAAAGGGACGTCAAAGACTGTGGTATGCTGAGTGAATGAGAATATTCCAACAAGACCAGAGCCTTGAATTGGAGTGTTGTGCATTATGAGGAATTACAGAACTTGACAGAAAAACAAAGGAACTTCTGACATTTTTGGGTGGTGACCCAGATTTACCCCATGCCACAAATTAGACTGTTTACCCAGTTACCCTGAATTGAAATGTGTAGCAGACACCAGCCTTCCCCCTCTCACAGGACCTAACGGGCTAGCTGACAGACACCATGAGGAGGTTGAAAGGACTCACCTGGGTCCTCAGTTGCAGAAGCTGCACAGTCAGTGCTAATCCTGTCATACCAGGAAAAGGGCTACACCTCCCTAATCCCTCAGGAATTTAGGAGCACTGTCTCATCCTCTTCTCCAAAATTCCACTGTCCCAGGCAAAGAGCAGCGTGCTTAATAACCCTCCCACCTTCTGCACCCAAGGGAAAGTCACCAACATGTATGGAGAGCCTACTATGTGCTATAATGTATTGATTTATGCTGCTCACGATAGCCCTCCTTAGCAGACACTTACTAACCCTGTCTGCAGGACAGGGAAATAGCAAGTCTAAAACAGAGTCGTTCTTCCTTCTGGAGTAAAGCAGTCTCTTCCAGGGAAGATTACTGATAGCCCAGCAATGCAAAAAAACCGTCTCCCCTCCTCTCCTGCACCGAAAGCATTTAGCACAGATAATGATGGTGAATTGGATGTGTGAATGATTATGGCTGAGGTTTAAAAAGTACTGGGGATGAAAATAGATCCCATTAAAATCTGTTCCAAACGCATCATCCACTCAGCAGCACAGTGAGTGGCAAGGGCGGACCGGTTGGGAATGTGTGCCTGTGTGTATGCTTTGGGGGCCTCCAGGTCACAGCCACGGGTGAGCCAACGGGACCTGCTCGGTGGGATGCTGCTTTTTCCCTTTGCTTCAGTGCCGTTCCCACGTAGCCTCGCCTTCTGAACCGATTCCAAGCAAAATAAGACTCTCGTAAGTCCATGCGGTGCTGGGTGTTGTGGCCTGGCAAGAGGGAATCCCTGGGAGTGGTCATTGCCCACATCTCAGGTTCCTTTTCTTTGTGAGTGAATTCGGTTACTCTGATGGGCCATCCACATGCGTGTTGCTAAAAACTCTCTTTAATTCCAAAGTGCTTGAGCTGAGGAACACTCCTCAGAGAAGTCACTCGGCTCAGAGCGAAGACCTTTGCCTGTAGGTGTCTTTTGAACTCCGGACAGTGGCCTGACACCATGAACAAGCACAGTGACTTGTGGGTAGACTTGAGTGACCCTTCCGTCGGGGCACTGCCCGCCTGTATGAAATCTTTGTGAGAATGAGGAAGAGGTGCTCTTCTGTGTGCTGGTGTGGGGAAGGGGCCAGGGAATCAGGATACACCCCTTCCTCTAGCTGAAGAACACCCCAAGGCGGTGGACACAGCGTGACACATGGAATGAGGGCTTGTTTTTGGTTCCCTGGGCCCCTTGGGTGGACTTTTCTAAATGAACCTGGTGGGTGAATTCCCAAGGGGCTGGCAGGTCCAGAGTGGAGAGGCTGGGTGCAGTGAGCAGCATGCTGTTCTGGTGTTGCCTCCTGCCTGCCCTCGACCACTTGGTGGAATCTGTGTCCATGAGAACAAGCCACGCACCTGTGCGGGGCCAGGCCAGCTCCTATGAACTCTCACTATTGCTAGAACCTGCAAGCATCCATCTCCGTTCCTGGAGAGAAAAAAACAAAAGCAACAACCCCTCCATCTCCTGATGGTGGATTACTAACATCTTTATCCAGAAGGAATAAAGTGTGGGCTTATCTTTCAGTTTCTTGGGTTTCAACGTCTTCTCCATTGTTTGCCCCCCATTTTCCACCCAGCCCTCCTCACCATTCCTGCCCTTCCTTCAGGCCGTCTGAATCCCGAGTGCAGGTCGGAGTCTGAGTGGTTGCTGTTTGTTTTGCATCATCTGTTGTTACTCAGGCTCTACCAGGTCCTGGCAGGCCTTCCTTCACGTGGTTCCAGGGTCCGTATTCATTCCTCAACCCAAAAAGCTGGCTGTCCTTCCTGACCCTTGAGAACAAACAAATGAAGCGTCCCTCCCCATTTTGGCCACGTGGATGGGGGAGGAAGTTGGAGCTGACTGAGGGTTTAGTGCCTAGTTGGAGGGCCGGGGCAGGAGGAGGTCACAGGGGAGTGGTGCCCATGTCCCCTTAGAACACTGCTTGTCAGACTTTCCTGGCTGAGTCCGAGTATGAAATACGTCTCATCTCACATGTCAGTACATGCATGTACATACATCTCACATGTCAGTACACCCACACTAATATATGAATGAATGAACCCAAACATTGTACACTGAGATTTCCTATTTTCTGTTTGTTTCTTTTCGACATGTGATCGCAGTAAGCTGATTTCAAGGGTTTTTAATGGGTCTCAACCGAAAGCTGGGGGCCTGCAGTTTTAGAGGGTAGTTTGGCATGTGAACCTCTGATGACCTTGACCGTGATTACATGGAGTGCTGGTTAAAATGCAGGTTCCTAAACCCCACCCAGACTAACCTGGCCAGCATTTTCTGACACTTCGGGCTGACCACCTGCATTTTAGCAGCCTCTTCAATGGATTCCTTTGCACCCTAAAGACCGAGTCTCATTCCCTCAGGTTTTGCTAACTAGAGGTGATTATTCTATTTCGTAGGCAACACCTGGTGACAAGGTTAAAAAAGTGAGTTAGCATCTTTGGCCCTGGAACTTCTGAGTTTTATCTTTAAAATGAATTCTGGTTTGTACTATAGCTTATCACAAATTCTTTCTCTTTGCAAATAGTCTGTGATCTTAGCTACAGTTTACTGATAGCCCTTCTTTCCCTGCTGAAGCTTAAATGTCCTGTGGGGTCCACTTCATCTATCTCTGAGATGAAGTCTAATTTCACTTCTTTGCAGAGTTTACGGAAAAAAGAAATAAATTCCGTAGAGCAGAAAGTTCCGCACATTCAGAGCATTTGGGCTTTTTTAAAAAACCATACTGACATTTCCTGGGCTCTGTTATGCGTGTTTTTCAGTTAAATTGTATGCCTTATTCATGTGCAGCTATTTTTATTTATCTTTTTACAGAAATGTTTTTAAAATAATTTTCCAGCATCTACTTTCATTTACGACTCAGGTGGCATTTGAGTCGCCCGGAACCCCGTTTATTTCCCGGGGCTGCGTTTGCTGCCATTGGCATTCCCGACGCAGCCAGGGCCGCTCTGCGTCGGCCGTCTGTTTGAGTAACTGGAGAGGGGCCTTTGCTCCTCTCCATGGTGTGAGGGGTTTACTCCGTGGAAGGGGTGCCATTTGGGGTGTTTAATGGCAGCTTCTTTCCCCATACTGTCCCTGAGTCAGGAACAGGCTCAGCCCTAGGAGGAAATATAAAATGGGAATACACATCTTACCCAGGCACACGCCTCTTTCTTCACCAGATAGATATCTGGAGTTGCTACTCCAGATCAAATGCGGCCGCACACCCGGCCTCCTCCGAACGGCTCCTGCGACGGGCTCCAGGAGCTCCAGGGGCACACCGACTCTCCGGCCTACCAATGTAGATCCAGCTTCTCTTTCTCAGGCGACGAGTGACGAGGGAGAGAGAGCACAGGCTTCACTGCCCGGCAGACCGAGGCACGGTCCCAGCGTGACGGTCGTTAGCCCTGTCACTTCCCAGAACCTCCGT